CCATTTAAAATAAATAAGTCAATTTCAAATAAGTTTAAAATAAATTTAAGGGTAAATAAAAATTTTATTATTAAATAAATAATATAATGTCCAAAAATTAAGTTAAGTCATTCTAAAGTTAATAAAGCGACTGTGCTAGAACCACGGGACTCGAGGGGTGCCTAACACCTTCCCATCGGTCAACAAAATTCCTTACCCGGATTTCTAGTTCGCAGACCAATAAAAATAGAGTCAAATTTCCTTTTGATTAGGGATTTAAATAAGGTGATTTAGAACACTAAAACTCAATTTCAAGTGACGACTCTAAATAATAATTATCCCTTTCCAAAACGTCACTTTAATTGGAAAAACTCTTTTTCTTTCGAAAAAATAAAAATCAAAAAAAATATTGAGAGAAAAAAAAAGGGGGCGTGACACTAATAACTGCTACAGAAGAAATAGATGCATTGAATCATCAATCTTGAATACTATATATCTATGGTTCATTTTCATTTCCAACTCTAAAAAATTCAGCTTGCATTCATCCCTCATTGCTATCGTTGACGCTGAATTCGCCTATGAAAATGCCACAAAATTAGAGATGAAAATAAAATTTCTCATGTTATTGAATGAACATATTTACCTCCCTACTCAAGTTCAACATGCACCGGAAATGTACCTCGTATTCAACAGTGTGGCCTAGTGATCAAGGAGGAGAAACAACAATCATAAAGTCTCAAGTTTAAATTCCAATAGAGATTAAAAAAAAATACTAAGTAAATTCTTGCTATCTACGCAAGCCTCGGCAGAACTAATACAACAAGAGAAATTGTTTTAGGTCACAAAGTTTGAATTCCTACTTTGATATTTTAGTATCTTTTGTGAATCTGGTCCTGTTCCTTCACTATTTCCCCCCGCTAAATGTGCTCGTGAGAGATAGTAGGTATCAAAAAAAATAGTTAATGTTGCGCAAGTTGGCCTAATATCATATTCATTAAAACATAAAAAAGACTCTAAACGTAACTCTCACACAACTAATTTTCTTAAAAAGGATAAATGATGGAATAAGCCAAATTCAATTGAAGTTTTGCTAAGTGCCTAAGAAATGTTCAAAGGGCTGAGTGCTTTTTTTTTAAAAAAAAATTATTCATAAAATAATTTGAGATAATTATTCATAATTATGCCCTCGTCTCACATCTTCATCTTCTTTCATATATAAGTGCAGTTGAATTTATAACGTGATTTAAAGGACATGTGGATTGAATTAAATTGAATTCAAATTCAAAATTTTTTTTGTTACATTAAATATGCTTATTTGGTGGAAATTTTAATAGCGTGGTGTCTTAGTTAAGCTGATTGAGACTATCTTTCTTTCCAAATTTGTTTTTGAATCAAATTTTGTTGTCATGAAAAAAAATTCATATGCCAATAGGAATCTTTGTACGGCTACAAGACAAAACAATGTTATATTGATGAAAACATCAATTTTCTAAGGGTCATTTTGTTTAACATATACTCCCTCCCGTTTCTTCTTAATTATCATATCGCGCTTTTAAAGAATCAATTTGACTAACTGTCAAAGCTAAATTAGATTATATTATAAAAATTTGAATATTTAAAAACTATAAAAGAAAGTACTAGAAGTTATGGTTTTAGTCAAGTCAAATGATAATGAAAAAAAAATTGTGACAAGTAAAAGGGAACGCTGAGAGTATATATACAACAAGCTTAGGGAATAAATTGGATATTTGAACACAAGGTTGGAGTTTTATGTAATCAAACTTTATATAGACTAATAAACCATCTCCCAAATACACAATCAAAAACAAAACATTTTCTAATTAAGAGAAAATTTGATCATGAAGAACATTAGATTGTGTACTAAATCTCTTATTGTGTTGCTAATTCTTCCAACTATTTGTAGTTTTTCAGAGTCAAGATTGCAAGTTTGCAAGCCTAATAGCAAGATTAAGGCAAAAAATCCGCCCAACGGGCATTGTAACATAGAAGAAGATGATATATGTTGCATCAAAGACAAAATATACACTACTTACAAATGTTCACCTCAAGTGTCTAGCAAGACCAAAGCAATTCTCACATTGAATAGTTTCGAAAAGGGTGGAGATGGAGACGGAGATGGACCATCAAAATGTGATAACAAGTATCATTTTGATGATACACATGTTGTAGCTCTTTCAACTGGTTGGTACAATGGAGAAGGGAGATGTCTTAGAAACATAACGATAAATGGTAATGGAAGAAGCGTAAATGCCATGGTTGTGGATGAATGTGATTCGACTATGGGTTGTGATGAGAAACATGATTATCAACCACCATGTAGAAACAACCTTGTTATCGCTTCACAAGGCGTTTGGAGAGCCTTACGTGTGCCTATCAACGAATGGGGTGAGTTGGACATAACTTGGTTCGATGAATAGATGCAGAGGTAGATCCAGAATTTGAAATTGTATTCATGGTTTGTGTAACTTTATTGTATTTACTCTAACACCAAAAAAACATTTATTATATTAATCATGGTTGTGTAACTTGTTGAAGAACTATAGTGACTAATTAACAGTCAAATTACAAGTAGTATTTGTTGAATCCATCCCATTGTTTTAGTCAACTTTAGCTATTCAATTGGTACAAGCAATTGTTAAAAAGGAATAGTAATTGAGTTGAAAAGAAAAGATTTGGTAGTTGGCAAATTGGTAAGATTTGCAACCATTTTTGACTTTGCTATGTTTACATATGTCATTAGTGACATAGGTATGGTTTTATCCTTCTATAAATAGAGCATTCTTACTCATTTGTAGAACACACCAAGTTACAGAGAAAAACCATTTTGAGAGCAAAGTGAGGTATTCCATAGACTATATAAGAAAATAGTCTGTGAAGAAAAATAGAGTGTGAGCGATATTTTAGTAAGACGGAAACCAAAAGAATGTTGTTCCTTTTGAGTGTGTAGTAGTCACTTTGAGTGTTGTATTCGTGACTACACAGT